ACTCAGAATCTTCTTCATCTTCTTCTCTTCCACATAGGCTAAGCTCAGGGGTCTTACTTTCCCTGACCAAACATACCCATTAAGGTCCAAAACCTAGCGACTATGTCTTCCTACCAGGCCGACTGGTACCAGGTCCATCACAAAGCTGTCAGCTTTTCACTTATTCTTGCCTTAACAGAAGCATACATGACCAAAGTCATGACAAGAGCACAGGAAAAGCCCCTAGCCAGATGAGGGGAACTCACAGGTGACATGTGAGATGAGTTTTGAAGGACAAGCAGGAGTTCATTTGGTAAAGTGAAAGAAAATCACGTATACGGAAGTAATAGCAAGTACAAAGGCTCAGAGGTAAGATCAGGGCCTAATTTTGAGAACTGTAAATATGTCAGGGTTGTGGGTGAGAATACCTGTTGGGGAGCTCAGAGGATGTTGGGGGCTAGATTATATCAGGCACTGGAAGCCACATGTATCAGTTAGGAGAGTACAGGTAACAGAACTACCTGATTCAACTGACTAAAAAATGAGAGAAAAAATGAATTTGGTATTTCAAATAATAAGTCCATAGGTAGGGCTGCTCCTGGGTTGGTTAAGTTAGCAATGATGTTATTAAGGACCCAGGATTTTTCTGTATTTCAATTCTGTTATTCCCAGGCTTCACCCCAAACCTACACCCTGATTCCCCCACCCTATGGTTGTAAGATGGCTACAGCAGCTCCAGGTTGCTTATACTTAAGCATATCCTTAAAGATTACTTCTGGAGGAAGAGAAGGGGCTTCTTCTTCTCTCATTATGTAAACTTTTTATACTCTTTTTAAGTTGGAGAAGATCTTTCCCAGAAATGTTTCCCCTCTTCCTCCTGTTCCTCCCAACAGCAAGCTTCCCTTCAGTATAATTGGCTAGAGTTGCATCATATGCCCAGGCTCAATTTTTAGTTAGGGAGTGGGACATCATGATTGACTTAAACCAATCACAGTTTACTCTGAGGCTGGGGTGGGAGCCTAGTACTCTTTAAGCATATGGCCAAGCATAGCAGTGTGGTTACAAGAATTAAATTGGGATTCTTTTAATGAGGTGGGAGAGAGATTGTTGGCTTTTTGGGTAGGAAGTCGGCAGTCTGCCATACCAAACAAAGGAATCTGGAGTATATCCCATTGTGTGTGTGGGGGGGAACCACAAGGATGTTAAAACAGGAATTAGCATGATTATATTTCACTATATCAGAATGGAATGGCACTAAAAAGGGGCATGAGTATGGAGGAGGTAGGGTCACCAGCTGGAAGGCTTCGTCAGAAGATTTCAGAAAGGATTTTAGAGACTTGAATTAAGAACTAGTCACTAACTGGATGAAACAGGTGTTGGGGAGGAAATTTTTTTTTAAAATTTTTATTTATTTATTCATGAGAGACACAGAGAGAGAGAGGGAGGGACATAGGCAGAAGGAGAAGCAGGCTCCATGCAGGGAGCCTGACATGAGACTCGATCCCGGGTCTCCAGGATCAGGCCCTGGGCCGAAGGCGGCGCTAAACCGCTGAGCCACCTGGGCTGCCCCAGGAAAATATTTTCTATGCCTCTCAAGATTTGGCTGATCTAAGAATTAAATTGACATGAGACAGATTAATAGGAGAAAATCAAATGTAATTACATACAGATGGGAGTCCCATGTAGGACTTTGAGGTTTATATCCCATTCTGAGCTGGGACTTTAAAGGGAAGGAGGACAATTCACAGGAAGATGAAAAAAAGTAAATGTTGGTAAACAAATGTTTGCTGAGCCAAATAGAAAAAAATGGGAATCAGAGAGGAATTTTAATAAATAGATTTTCCTAAGTTCCTCCCTGTCTGCCATACCTAGTTTATATTATACTGTAGTTTTTTTGTGGAGATAGTTCCCTTCCTGGAGCAGGTCCTCTATCCAAATTCTTGTAGGCACTTAGGAGGGGATTTTGAAAGGTTCTTTCCGAGTCTTCTGTTTGTTAAGAATAATCAGCCTAAAATAATCAACATGCAAAAGAGACCCATTTTGGGGTGGCAAATTTTGCTCCCCTACAGCAGAAAGGAAGTAGAAGAGATGCTAAAATGACTTGTAAATTTCTGCTTGGGTGAATCACAGGGCAGTTGATCAAGGTTGGGAATATGAATGGAGGAGGTTTTGGTGGATAAAGTGAGAGTGGCAAGACAATGAGTTGTCATGGACAAGGAGGTGCCTACAAGGCACACAAAGAGAGAGGAGTAAACTTGGAAAGGAGAGTGAAGACCACAGTACTTCAACACCTTTAGAGGTTAAGGCAGGATGGAATATGGAATGACAGACAACTGATACTGAGTGTAAGGCTGGTATGGCCGATCTTGCTCAGAGCTGGGTAGAGTCAGGGACTTCTTGAGAAAATTGTAAATGTAACTGTAGATAAGGCTTTGAAAAGCAGTTAAAGACCAGTTTTGAAATCCGGATTTCTGTAATTTGTTTCAACATGTTGAGAGTTACAGATGAGATGAGGAAATGATCTCAACCTACTTTTTTTTGGCCTCCTGACTGGAAACCTCAGAACTCAGCGCTGTGAGCTGTTAATCAGATAAGCATTGCAGACTTTTGTAAAAAAATCATGCTTTACAAATTCCTGAATGTGTATGGACTTATTGAAGGAAGTATCATCCAAATGCAGCGGACCAAGAAAGTACAATCAGGTGTTGGGACTAAAATGGGTTTCTTTTCTGTTTTATAAAAGTAGTTATGAAAATTAAGCTAGAAAATGTCTCAGTGCACCTTCAAGCTCTAAGTTAATATAGTTCATAAATCGTATGAATTAAGGACTCTTTAAAACATAAATAGGAATTCTATTTCCACTCAAAAACATCCATTTAGTGGACCACAGGAGTCTGAAATATACATAGGTTAGACAGAACTGCACAGTTGGCAGGCAACCTCAAGAATTCAAAAATATATGTATTCCAAAACATCTGCTGAGTTTTTCCCATGACTACCTGACTACTGGGCTCTGGAATAAAAATACCTGTTATTTGTATAATTTTGTAGTTAATCCTAACTTTATGCAATTATCCTACCCAGTGTGATTTTGGAGGGCCCAAATAAAATAGAACACCTGAAGCAGAGTAGGGATTGAAGGACAAAGAACAAAAGAGCACGGAGAATCAAAGAAGAAAGGCAAGTTAGGAAGCCCATCAGGTTGGGAGGAGAATGGAGGGTAAAAAAACCAATAGTTGGGAGAGCCTGAACATGTAAACTGGATAATGTCATGATGATTAGCACATTAGGTTATGTGGCCCATAACCTCTACAGCAATCAGCCCAGAGCTCTCACTACTGGTCACTGACTATCAGCTTCCCCGCCTTCTAACTCAGGACCAACCAGAGAAAGCCAAATATGCTCCCTACAAACAATCACATAAGATGCCCTGCTCCTAGTAAGCCTGCTGCCAGCTTCCCTATGCTAATACTCTCAAATCAGAGCACGAAGCCTCACCCCCTTTTTTTCCCCCACCAAAGTTAAGCTTTCCCACTCCCCTGACAGTCTTTTTAGGTCTCTGCCAGATGTAAGTGGTTGACTGCCTTTTTATAGCAGGTGTAACAGAGAGCCTCTTTTGATCTCATTTGGGTGTTCTTCATTTATTTCCACATTCATTCACTTATTTACCATATATTAGCTGCACTGTATGTGCCAGACAGTGGAGGCAGATAGTCCCTGTCCTACCGTCGACTGGGACAAACACATAAATTGTAATTCAATATGGTAAGTGAAAGAATAGGCACACATGACGGGGCTGTAGGTCAAATAAGGTTTTTGTTTTTTTAAGATTTATTTATTTATTTATTTATTTATTTATTGAGAGAGAGAGAGAGAGAGAGAGAGAGAGAGAGAGAGAGAGAGACAGGCAGAAGGAGAAGCAGGCTCCATGCCGGGAGCCCGACGCGGGACTCCAGGATCGCGCCCTGGGCCAAAGGCAGGCGCCAAACCGCCGAGCCACCCAGGGATCCCATCAAGTAAGGTTTTTAGGGGAGCTGACCTTTAAGCTAAGTGGTAAGGAATGAGTATGAATGAGTTGGCCTGGTTAAGAAGCCAGGAAGGATATTCAAGGCAGATGGAAAGGTAGAGGAGGCGGGATGAACAAAGCCTAAGAGTGCAGAAACCACAGACGTGCGCTCTTGAAGCCTAGCAAGGGAGATCAGGAGCAGCAGAAGACGCTGCAAGGGCGGGTCCTGGACCGCCACGTATACGCCACGTTCGTAAGGATCTGGACTTTATCCTGTCCAAATGGCTCCCTCCTGGAAATGAGAGAAGCGGCTGGTGTAAGCAACGAAGAAAAACACTACGGAAACATTACCTTTGTATGTGTTACTGTAAGGTCCGGGAGGGCAGGGACACAGCGGCTCAGGTCTGGCACACAGGAGGCAAGTCAATCAATGAATGCTGAACGAATAGATAGATATAAGCGCTTCGGTATAAACATACCGTCCCCCATTTATGTTTCTCTAACAGGACAAGACAAGGAAGCCGGGGCGTAATACGTCTGGGAGGCTCCAGGAGGCTCAGTACCTCCTCCGACAGCTCGTGGCAGGAGACGCACTTCTCCGCGGCCACTCCAAGACCCACCCACCGGGGCCGCTTAGTCCTGGAAGCGGCAGAGCAGCTCGGCAGCCGGCGGAGACACCCGCGGAGAGGCTGCGCCCGCCGTCACAGCAGCGGGCGCAGGCTCTCTCGCCCGGCTCACCGGAGCGCCCCTGCCGGCCCGCGCGGGCGGAGCTACGGCACGACGCCCTTCCGGATTGGACGCGTTCGCGGTCCCGGGGCGGGCATTAGAGGCCGAGCGCTGTTGGGGATTGGCCACTCTGGAGAACGGACGTGAGGCCGACGGCGCTAGTTCGCCGGCGGCCCGGGCGGGGCGGAGGGCGGGCCCCTCTCTGCGGGCCTCCTGTCAGTCATTGGCTCCCTGTGGTTTCCTTGGGGACGTGGCGCCGCCGCCCGCCCGGGCCTCTTTCCGGCTGGGCTAGAGGCGGTGGGGAACCGCTCTGGACGCAGCGGAACGTGGCGGAGGGAGCCTGCGGGCCGCTGGACCTGTGAGTGCGAGCGCAGGAGGGCCGCGGGACTGGGAAAGGCGGGGAGGGGAAGTGGGAACCCCCACCCCGCCACCTGGGGAGCGCCAGTGCCTCGAGGACGCCCGGCTCCCGCCGAGCTGGCTTAGCGTCAGCCGGGCCCTGGGAGCGAGACGCTCACTCTGGAGTGGGTGGGCGCCCTGGCCTTCCCTCGCAGGTCTCCTGGGGGCACTGCTGGAGGGAAGCCTGAAACCCCACGAACTCTTAACAGGCTGCAGACTTAGGAGATGCCTGAGACAAGGAGACCAGTTTCTCAGGGCAAAAAGAAAAGGAGGTGACAGGCACTGAGACCACTGAAGGGATCCCATGGCTAGGTAAGGCTGCACATTTTCTCCTCAGCTAAGGGGCTCAGTTGGGGGTGAGGTAGGTGGAGGAGACCCGGGAGGTTTTGACAAGTGAGGTTTGCCCTGGTGCTGCTTCTGGACTTTGGAGCTTTGTCGAATGGATGCAAAGACAATCAAAGTGACATCCCCCCCCTCCCCCCAAGGCAGACAGAACTATAGTTTCTGGCTCGTAACCCCAGGGTGGTGGAGTGAGTGCTTGCTCAGAATGGAAAAGTGCTAAAATGTAATGTTCTTTTCAGATTTCCATTTGAGTGAAGCTACCTGCTTTTCGAGGAGGTTGAACAAAGATTTTTTTTTTAAATGAACTTTGAAAATAGGCTGAGGTGCTTTTGAATTAATATGGAAAGTGAACTTCATAGTTGGATATGTGTATCTATACATTGTGATGGTCTGAAACTTTCAGAAAAGATTAATGTGACTCTACAGGTACCAAATGAACAGTTGTCAAATAGAGTAAGTGGGGAGAGATGCAAAACATAGGTACTGTATAAAACCAGAGGAATGGACATAAGCACATGTATGTTGTCATATATGGTATACATTTATGTTTGTGTCAACAGAATATCCCTGGGTAAATATGTAGAAACTGGGTACCAGTGGTTGCCTTTGAATGGGAAATGGTGGGTTAAGGCAAAAGACTCATTGTCCACTATATGTCCTTTTAAACTGGTTTTTTTTTTTTCTTACCAGGTGCATATAGAACCTACTAAAATATATTTTTTTTTAATTAGTTGAATAAATACTCTCACCATCCGGTTTTTTGACATCATTCCTGGTGGGAATGTTGTAGTTGCTCTGATTCTTCAATGATAGGAGGTTGACTAGGGAGACTGGTGATCTTTTCGTAAACTGAGATTAATTCTTTGAATTACACCCCAAAGTGCAGACATTGGGAAAAGAGCGGATAAGGCTTTTCTGATTTATTTTAATGAACCATATAGGTTCTTTTCTAAAATTTGGGACTAAAATAACATTTGTAGACTTCTGGTGACATAAATGTTTGCCTTTATTAGGAGATTTTTCTACTAATCTGTAGAGATTTTTCTTACTAATAATGTTTGTCTCATTTCAGGATCAGTTTTTCCTACCTCTGCCCAGCCTCCTGGTACTTCACTGTGCCAACAGTAAGCCCATTTCCCCGTCAGCGGGTGGCATTCCTAGGACTCTTCTTCGTATCCTGTCTCCTATTACTTATGTTAATAATGGACTTTCGACATTGGGGTGCTTCATTACCACGAGATAGGCAGTATGAAAGGTGAGTAAGCTTTAGATCACTTTGATCAGACTTGGCATTTAAGTCATAAATATTTTGACATTTAACACACTACTACCTTTGACCCTTTTAAGGAATACTGCACTTTTATTAGTAAAATTGCAAGCCACTTATTACATAAAGATCTTAAGCCCTATTTTGGCAATGTTCACTTTTGATTTAGGAATGCTGTTGGTGCATTTTAACCATGAAAGCCATCTTTTTATATTCTTGTTTGGTAGGCTGATTTATTGGATGCATAAATGTTTAGCATTGTTATGTATTCTTGATGAATTAACCCTTTTATCATTATTAAATGACACTTTTTATCCTTCATTCTTTGCTCTGAAATCTAGTCTGATAATAATGTATTTTCTTCAGCTTTTTTTTGCTTAGTGTTATCATTATAGATGTTTTCTCATCCTTATAATTTTAGCCTTTATGTCTTTATTTTTTATATCTATCCAGTCTTTTTATAAGTAACTGCTTTTTATCCAGTCTGATGATGTCTGCCTTTAATTTGAAGTGTTCAGGCCATTTACATTTCATGTGATTATTGATTATGCTTGGTTTTAAATCTGTCTTGCTATTTGTTTTTTGCTTATCACATCTGTTCATTGTTTGCTTTTCCTCTTTTTCTCCCTTCCTTTGAATTGAGTACATTTTTAATATTCCATTTCATCTCTTTTGTTGGCTTAGTAGATATAACTCTGGGTTTTAAAATTTTTTCTCTTTCTTTTTTTAGTGGTTGCTTTAGGGTTTAAGGTGTATAGTATACATCTTTAACTGATCATAGTCTACCTTTAGGTAATATAATTCCTCTTCCTGTGTGCCTCTTTACCTCTTTCCCTGGGCCTTTGGACTAATGTTATTATATGTTTTCCTTCTACTTATATATAAACTCCACCATATATAGTTGTTATTTTTGCTTTAAACATTTAATTGTCTTTCAAAGAGATTTAAAAAATAAGAAAGAAAGTTTGGTATATTTACCATTTCTGGGCCTTTTCATTCCTTTGTACTATAGTTCAGATTTCCAATTGGTATAATGTTCATTTTGCCTAAAGGACTTCCTTTAACATTTCTGGTAGTGTGAGTTTGTGGTTGGTGAATTCTTTCAACTTTAATGACCAGAAACGTCATTTTGCTTTCCTTTGAAAATATTCATTGGGTATGGAGCTCTAGGTTGATTTTTTTTCTTCTTCTAATACTCTAGAAATGATGCTTCACTGTCTTCTGAATTGCATTTTTGCTGAGGCGAAGTCTGCTGTAATTTTTTTTTTTTCTGCTGTAATTTTTAAATCTTCTCTGTATAGCATGTGTCTTTCCTCTGGCTGCCTTTTACACTTTACACTGGTTTTAAGCAATTTGATTATAATGTGCCTTGGTATGGTTTTCTTCATGAGTCTTTTGCTTGTGGTTTGTTGATTCTTGAATCTATGGATTTATACTTTTTAATCAAATTCAGAAAATTTTTTACCATTATTTCTTCAAATATTTTTATCTTCTTTCACTTCTCCTTCAGTGTCTCCAGTCACATATATATTAAACCACGTAAAGTTTTCTCACAACTTATTCATTTTTTCCAGTCTTTTTTTTTCTTTCTGTGTTTCTTTCTGGATATTTTATATTGCTGTGCCTTCCCGTGCATTAGTAATTTCTTCTATAAAGTCTAATATACTATTAATTCCATCCAGTGAGAGTTGAATACCTTTTTTTTTACAGAAAATATATCTGATTTATTTAATATAGTTTTAATGCCTTGCTAGTTGCATAGACGATCTGTATTCTTTTATTAGAGTGATTCATTTTGCTATTGTTTTTTGAGGTTAATTTCTGATTAGGCTACAGAATAAAATGATGTCATATAGTGACTTTCTCCTTGTTGCTTCTTCAGACAGTATCAGGAGGTTTTGGGCTGCAAGCGATGGTCAAAGTGACTTAAATAATAAAGTTACTGGCTCACATAACCAGAAGTCCAGGTGTAAAGGGACCATTAAGTTCAACATTGGCTATCAGGATGAGAATCTCTGTCTCTGTTTTGTACTGTGTCAGCTTACTGAGAGGTTGAAATATAGCAGCCAGTAGCAACTGGGGCTACCTGCATCCACACTAATCTCCTGCAGGAGAGAAAGAGGCCTTTTATGCTCTTGTGTAAGAATGAAGAGGGTCCTTCCTGGAAATCTCCAGCAGCCCTTTTCTTCAGTCTTTTCTGGTCAGAATTGGGACACATGACCACTTCCCTTAATATTTCTGGGTTGTTCTGCCCCAGATTTTCTCATTTCCACGTCATTTTGATTATTCGTTCATTCATTCAGCAAGCATTTATTGAGCAACCACTATATGCTGCATATTATTGAGCACCAGGACATGGAAAATTTGATACCTTTTCTCAAGAAGTTTGTATTTCCAACCTTTCCTCTCCTGCAGCACCACTATTCATTTCTTTCTTTCTTTCTTTCTTTCTTTCTTTCTTTCTTTCTTTCTTTCTTTCTTTCGAAGGAACATTTGTTTAGATGAATATAGTTGTCAACAATTGGCCATAAATAAGCAGCCTGTTAGCTTCAGGGAATTAAGTCCATAATTTTAAGGTTTTTGAATGCTTATTGAGATTTTCTTGACACACCTGAGCAGTTTTCCACTGGAAGACAGCATGATCTAATTATGAAATTCTATGTAGGTTAATATGGCTAAAGACTGTTAGGGAGTAAGTGGTGAGCTGTGTGGCTGGAAAGGTAAGTCAGGCTGAGCCCATTAAGTCATTTGAGGGGGTGGGGGTTAGGTATTATTTTAAGGGCAGAGGAAAGGCTTTGAAGAATGATTATGATTGGAATTGCTTTTTAAAGAAAGCTCACTTTGTTGGCATTGTAGAGAATGAATTGGAGGGGAATAAACATGAAAGGAGGGAGATGGATTGGAATACTCCAGTAGAGTTATGATGGTCGCCTGAATTTGGGTGGAAGCAATGACAATGGAGAGGACAATGGAGAGAAGTAAATGCATTTGAAGGATATGTGAGAGGTAGAGTGATTTGATAGTTCTTGTCTACTGCTATACCCCAATTGGTCAGATCAGATAAATACTTAAGTTAGATTAATTGCAACAAGTTGGCTGCAGAGCTAAGTGGCACACTGTGGCTGTGTGGTTACCTTACCAAAGTCTTGACAACTTGTGATGCTCTGGTCCAGCAATCAGCAGCTATATAGCCTAGAGCTCCTATTCTTTAATGAAAGGTTATGTGCATATTGCCACAAATTACTATATCATTACATTTCACTAATGGCAGCCCCTGTGAGTCATTTCAGAAGCAAACTTTCATTGAGAACTTGCTGTGTGCTTGACACTGTTGTAGATACTAAAGTACAAAGATGAATAAAACGTGGCTCCTGAACTCATGGAGTTTATAATCTGGTTAGTAAGGCAGATATGAAGGAAGAATTCTTTCCCAATGAGATAAAAACTTATATATAACTATGTAGAATCCAGAACTGTACATAGTCAACAATCAGGAACAAAGTTAAGAGTCAGAAATTAATCAGAAGAGGTCCATGAGTAACTAAAGTTGACATCACTAAGTTCATGAACTAAAAGCTCATGTACTTTACTGATAAGATAGGCTTTTGCATAGAACCTATTTGCTTTTATGTTATACACTATTAATTAGCTTGGTTTTCTCTTAGAACACAGCAGATAAACAGCAAATTAGATGATGGTAGTAAGAAGCCTATGCTGGTCATTAATGTGGGCACACCGATGATAATAGTCAATAAATAATATGCTGGCATCTTGACAGTGAGGCAGGAGAGAGGAAATTTGTTAAAAGTAAACTTAATCACTCAAAATTTCCACAGGCCATTTCTGTAGTATTAAATAGCTCTACACATTTTGTTAAAACTTTTATTGCAAGTCTAATAAGTTTTATTAATGATGACCTTAAAATACTGGTTTTCAACTTTTGTGTATCTGAATCATTTGGAGGCCTTTAAAAAATGCAAATAATTGAACCTCTTCTAAAGATGATTCTAATATGCAGCCTAAGTTGAGAACATTGCTCTAAGGTTCAGTTATACTTATTTGGGGAGGAGGTATTATGGTATAGGGGTAAAATGATTGATTTTAGAGCTAGACAGCCCATCATTTAATAGTTGGGTGATCTTGGGCAGGTCTTTTATTCTGGAATCTCATTTTCTTTATGTATAAAGTAGAGGTACAAATGCTCGCCTTGTAGTTTTGTCATTTGAATTAAAAGAGAAAAGCATCTAGAACTGCCTAGGGTGACATGGAGGTTATTAGTCTTATTATTTGAAATAATCTTGATTTTTCTGTTCTCTAATTCCATTTTCTGCCCTGTAGCTAACCACTGAAGATAATGGTCAGTATTATCTGCATTTGAATTTTTCCTTCCAGAATTTTTTTTCCTGGCTGCTGCTATTGCTTAAACACTGGTGAGCACTAGTTGATGATAAGATGATTAAGCAAATAATTAGGAAATGATGGAAACACTTTAGTTAAATAGCTTATAAAAAGGACAAATGCTTATGGTTGTGGTTTTTTTGTATTATATACATATAATATAGTCATATTATTCCAACTTAAATTGTTCTAGTTTGCATGATGAAATTATATCATATAAATACCATATATTGGAAAAAATATTTGAATTTTTTCAGCCATTAGTGGAACTTAGCATATCTCTTCTGAGGTGACATGATGCAGGATTTTAGAAGCCTGCATGATGGTAGTAGTTTCAAAACTGAAGAGTTGTTGTATTTGTTTGTTTGTTATGAACATATACTCACCTTACTTTAGGAAGGAGAAAACAGGAGGTTTGCATCAGAAATAGAATTTAAGAAATAGATTTAGAGAGTGATGGGGTATTAGTAAGGATAGAATACAGAGCTGTTTTTAATAGACTTAATTTTTTTCTTTAAGAATGTATTTATTTATTCATGAGAGACACACAGAGAGAGGCAGAGACACAGGAAGAGGGAGAAGCAGGCTCC